CTTAGAGCCTGCATTTAAGCGGGGTTAGGCTTGGGTGGTACAGGTTAAGGTCAATAAAAACAGTAACACGCCCCATGTTACGGGGTTTATGGCTTGCGTAAGATCCCGGCCCTCTCTGTGACCCCTGGCCGCCCACAGCAGCACCCCACCCAACCGGCCAGACCACACTCCGCACACGCCAGCCCCCCCCACCAATACCAGACCATACCATTGGGGGGGGGGGGGCCGGGAACGCCAGACGCCTGACCATATATACAATGAACGTCTCGAATGTCGTGCTTCAAAACTGGAATTTCCGAAGCACTGCTGTACCACATGCGAAACAACAGTCCCAAATATGTTGTATGGGCAAGATTTCCATTTAACAGCATACATAAAGGGAACAGCGTTATGCCCGTTCCAACATCGATGGCAAAGACTCGTACTGATACAAGGCCCTAAACAAGCTTCCACAAGGTATTTATACCAGATATACAGGCAGAAAGGCGCAAATAGGACCGAGTCTGGTGATGCTGTCCTGAAGTTATATGTGCATATGCTGCACACTACACAGGGAGGATGTGAGAAATCTGGAAACAGAGTTGGGAATACATGTATAATTTATAAGGTGTGGATATTGCGGTATACAGGAGGCGGGTCTTCTACAGCATGTTGGCAGGTAGTGGCCTCGCCCTCCGTCTATCTTATAAGAGGTTTGGTTGTGGTTGATGTTGTCCTAGTCATATGGTCATATAATGAAAAAGTTGCAAGCACCATACTTGAGGGAACAGATCTGAAAAAGACAGGTTTGAGAAGGAAAATCGGCATGTGATCTGAACAGAGTTTGAAGGTTAATTCTAGATTCTAGACCGGTCTCCCATCGGATTTTTAAAGCTCAATCCATATAAGCCGACTGCATGTGCATACAGACTTTTGTTCGCGAAAAAACAAGTTGCTTTAGAAGCCCTAGGAATCAGCAAAGTTAAAGCCGCGGTGTTTAAAGATTCCATTGAGGGTATGTATTGGGTTTCCAAGCATGTGATGCGGCTTTGTAAGGCCATCTAACAAACATTATCCTGAATGTCTTTATGCGGGAGTGTTTCTTTGTCACTATTCAAGCTGAAGGGGAACCCCATCGAAGACCACGGGCGTGCAGAGTTGGGTGTATTGCGCGCTTGTGCAACGCGCGCGCACTAGGAATTCAAGCTCAAGGGGATTTTCAAGATAAAACAGCTTAATGTCAGAGGGTGCATACACAGGAGGGGCGGGGAGCTTGTGCAGAAAATACGCCAAATCTCTAAACCAATAGACATGCAAACGATGTCATAGCTTGGACATGCTACACCCATGTGAGCAGATCATAGGTAGCGAACGGGACATGCCCACACACCAAGTTATATGACAGGAGGCTACCTGCAGTTGTCCTAGATACCAGGTTTTTGAATTGAATATGGGACCCCAACTTCATCTTGAAGACACGTTCAATGGGGATTGACAATAGGATCCATACTTGTGTTTAAGCAGTGATATGCTACAGGGGCTTTACGAGCAAAACCATGCGACATAGAGACACTCTTCTTTCGTAAAGCCAGAAGTCGGGAGATACCACTGTCCACTTATGTTGATGGGATGTACTTACGCCACCAGCTGTCATGTAGAAGCTGTGAAGACGTGCCCATGGTACTGCAGCTTGCATGGTATGAGAAGCATGCACCCCGATAGCTTTCAAGTGCGAAGTAAAGATGCCAAGTCGGTCCCGAGCAGTAGTAAAAGAACTGCAGGTTTACTTCGCCTAGACTGTCGGGTGGATTTGCATAGGAGTTACATGCATGTTGACTTGCAAGTTCCAGAAGCAATGCCGTCTAAACTTATATAGTTAAATGAAATACAGTGCACACACTTGCAAAAGACATGGCTCTAGTCTATCATATGTGGCGGTGTGTTTGGACCATGTCTTCTGGAACCAGTGTATTCATACTCTACACTGTCGTGGCAACAATACACATGTTCCTTACTCATCATTTGTTATCAAGAAGGTAAATTCCTCTCATGCTCTCGAACGAACGCTGCAAAATGCCTGCAAGGAAAAAGATCTAGTACATGGAATGACAGAAACCGATTCCTTTACGAATTGGTTTGGAGCATAGTGCATTTGCACCACCTTTGTATTTCAAAAGTGGTTGTCCCTAGACAACATTCGAAAATACCGTAAATATGAAGGGGCCTGCAGGGCGTTCCACCTTCTCGGTTCGGTGTATCGAGTGGTAGTTCGTCCCGGTCGAGCTCTGTGTAAACTCCGGTTCCCATGGATCCTGCCATCGAAGGAATATTGCCCCAATGAAGGAATATTGAAGCGTTTAATTTGCAGCTTTATCGCCGTTTGGTCACTGTATGACTATAGTATGATGTCAAGGGCAATCGGCGGGCTTCCCCAAAACTTGAGTAAGTATCTTCCCCACAAAGTTGCTCGGGCCCGAAGCGAATGCTCAAACATGCCATATTTGGACCATAGTAGGGTGTTGGGAATAATAAAGTATCAGAACAACAAGGGGGGTTTTCGAGGTTTTCGAGTTGCCTGCCATCAGAGATACCTCTCTACCACCGATGCTGTGATGCAGATCCCCGAGCCAATGCAGATTAAAAGACAGAGGTTGCGGAGACACGATCATCCTTGTTGCGGTACAGTATGTCAATCATTTTGTCTAGCTTGTCGTGGTTTGGTCGAAGACTGTGCTCCAGGTGGGCGCTGCAGTGCGGGACAGAGGGTGCTTTGCTCCCTCATCATCCGTCTGGCTTTAGCAGATTCCTTCTGCGTGAACTGTGGCTGCCTTAAATGGTCGCCCCTCGAACCACATGCCTCGCGGGGAGTGTCCGAGTGTGAGCGCCGAAATGGCGACCACTTGGCTGTGCCCTTGATTGAGCAGCGATCGGGTTGCTACAGTGATATCGCAAGCGCATGTGGTAGTCCAGTCCGGTTGTTGCAGCCTTGCTGCGCACGAGATGCCTGTCTGAGAGGTGGGGTTCTCGCGCTTGATGAGCCGACGACGAATCTGGATGCTGCCAACATCCGAGGGCTGGCTGAGGCTCGGGGTCACCTACCGCTTCTGAAACTTCTTCCAGTGATCCAGTGAGGGCTGATGCAGACAAATCGCCTGGGATTTGGCCAGGCCTTGGCCAATCTCATAGAAGCCAGAAGAGCCCAATCACGATTCCAGCTCGTTCTAATCACGCACGACGAGGCCTGGAAGTTCATAGTTTTGGCAAATGCGCCGTTGAGGTGAAGGCACACAGCCACTGGAACAAGAACTGCATATATCCACGCATTGCCTTGTTGTGCAGTAGAGCTCTGCGACAGCCGAGGCTTTTGTCAATCGCCTCGCGCAGCTTCAGGTGTGCGACTGGTTTTACCGCATTCACAAGGACGATGCTTGGAAGCAGTCTTGCTGCCGAAGTGTTGGTGACAACTCCTGGCAAAATCTCTTCAATGCAATTCTGATTCGAGCCTTGGGGTGGAACTAGGGTGTAGAAGTGCTCTCTAGCCTCTTATTGTGTGAACTTCGAGCTGTGCAAGTGACCTCCATGCACCCCGGCTTTGATGTTGCTGCATTCAAGGAGTCTGGATGTTCAAAGATTGAGAAGCAGCGAATTCAGCTTTTTGGCGACTAGGGTGTTTCAACGTCTGTCAATGTTCTCCGTCGTAACATTAATGAGCAGTTCAGGTCTGGAAGCATTTATTGGCAGGTGCAGTGCAGGGACAGTACAGAGTCCTGGCGCAATTCACTGCATGGGGCAGTGGTCTGCTTAGGTTAGGCTTAGTAGCGAGCAGCTGTCTCGATGAGCTTCTCAAGTCGGCATCCGCAGGATTGCCACAGGTCGGTTGACTGTCTGCAGCGCGCAGAAAACACCACCACTACTGAGAACAGGAACAGCCAGCGGAGAAACCTAACGAAGCACCGGTATTGCTGATTGTGTCCCTCTCGCCCGTTTTCAGGTATCTCACAAGATCGGGTATGGCCCGGAGCTCGGACCACTGAATTAAAAGCCTCTGTAAAAGCCTTTGCGGTGCTGCAGAGTTCTGGAGTCGTTGATGAGGCCTCCGAAGCTGCCGCGGCATTGAACTACAGCGTGTTTAACTGGGCGGTGGGATTCCCAGACACCCGAGCTCGCTTTGCCTCATGGCTTTTTGCGCTAGCGGAGCATTCTGAAGAGATGGGTTTGCGCCCAAGAAGTTTTCAGAGATAACCCACGTGCTCGCCTCTCTAGCGATGCTAGAGAGGCTGGCAGAATCCTAGGCTTTTGCTGGAACTACGGCGTTTAGAATCGACTTATAAGATGCAGAAACGCTGCGAGGCCGTACATGGGCCCGGCGAATTCCATGGGCTTGGAGCTTACGGCAGCTTGGGAAAATCTCACTGCTCCCAGAGACGCACGCGCGCAAGCACACACGCGCAGTATGCACAATTCGCGGGGGGGGGGGGGCAGCCCGGCAGTCCCATAGGGGGGCTGTTCTTCTTCCAACATTGAGGCCGCACACTCACGTGGGCGAGTACCACGTGGGGGTCTTTTATGCCCAGGTGGGCCACTTGCGCAGCAACAAGTTTGCAATGCAGAGAAGTGGTTGACATGCAGGCTCACACCAGCGCTGCCTGCATACGGTTTTATGTTCGAAACTCGCAACACGTCTCAGAATCTTTTGCGCTAGCACTGCTCAGCATCTACAAACGCTTCATGGGCTTTTCCATTGGGGCTTGAAAATCACCATGGCTGGCGGACCTGCCGCATCTTCGGTTGAGGCTTTGAGGAAGCGAGCATTGGCAGAGGCTCCCAGCCTGTCTCCCAAGCTGGAAACTGTGAAGGAGCTCCATGGATCAGGCGTCCTGTCGCCGCCGGATGTTTGCGTGTGTTACATTCTCCTCACACTCAGCTTGCGTTACGGAGATCGTCTGCTCGCTGGCTGGCGACGCCCACAGAAAGAGTCGCCGCAAGACGTCCCACAGGAGCCTCCCCACTTCTCAGCGAGACTTTGCGATAAACGACTGGACGGACTTCTCGGGCAAGATGTCCTGAGCGAGCGATGTTTGGACAAATTGGGATTGACCAGAGACACCGCGACATTGAAAGACTTTGCCTGCAAGGCCCGCTTGCACAGAATCCCAGACTACGTATCAATCTGCCTGGAAGAGTTCTACGCGGGTCGCAGGCCTTTGTGTCTGATTTACAGAATTCCTGAGCCACAGGAGTTGCTTGCGATGCAGGCAGATGGTGCTCGCTGTGTCAGTGCACTCACATCTAGCAGGCTGCTGTCGCAGGTTTACGGCCATCGAGACTGTTTAGACATGCTGCTGCACGATTTCGCTCACATGGAGAAGCTTGTGGAAGCTGGCCGTTTTTGGCAGCAAGTGGGCTTCTTTGAGTTTTTGCACGGCACCGTAAGGGAAAGGCACATGCACCACTGGCAGTCATATGGAAGGCGATGGGAGCTGTCTTGGTTTTATGTATCATCCGACATGAATGCGGTGGCCAACCACATGTTTCTGACCCTTAAAGCGCAGCTAATGGTGGCAATGGCTCGCAGCATGCTGATGCAAGCTGGCCGACTGGATCAGGCTATCGATGATGCAGAGCAGGCAGAACTTGAGGCTGCCAAATCTGATGTGTACCCGAGGGCAAGTATGTCCCGATGGAAGCCGCTGCTGGAAGATGCCGGGCTCCTGTCCCAGTTTGAGGACTGGATTAACTTTGGCTTCCAATCGAGTCTTTGGTTGCTGCATGTTTTCCGTTTGCATAGAGAAGAGCCTGTGGCCAGGAGCATTTTGCCGAGGAATGGCGTCATGTGCTTTCCGTGCATGCAGCACGAGCTGAAGAGAAGTTTCCGGGCATCTTCGAATCCAACGAAGGACACGAGCAGCAGAAGCGGAGCAGAAGTATGCACACTAGCCACTTGCCCTTGCGCAGATCGCTCTCGTCCCAGCGTGCATCTTGTGACTATACCTGTGTTTTGGCCACGCTGTTGAAGTTTTTGGCTTTGGAGATGGCCACGGCTCAAACCATTTTGACCCAATGTCCGCGGCCATTTTGGCTCGTACAAGGCTATCAGTGACTGGATGTGCTTGACTTCCATGGCGGAGGCAACTGTTTCAATTTCCAATTCTGACATGGATGATGATCCGAGCCATCCTGGTCACAAGGAGAGAGGTTCACCAACTACGATTTCACGTGCGAACCCTCTCTCTCCCTTCCAACAGAGGGATCGATTTTTGCTGGCTCACCGGCGGTCTTCCAAGTTAGCACTGATCTGCTCCTGGTGGACCGAGATCAAAGTCCATGACTCCGCCAGGCCAGGCGAAACCTTTCAAGTGATGGTGGCCGACACCCAAAAGCACACATACTTGGATTAGAATCGCATGCAGCTCGCTGCGTGTGGGGGCGTGCTTATTTTTGCAACAAGCACTTGCCCTGAAATGGGACGATACGTCCCGCACTCCGAGGGCTCCTGTGACAAAGAGAGCGTGGCAGGATTTTTGCGGGCCCGCCTGCTTGAACAAGCGCCATCCACCTCTCCGGGGTCTACTCATCGCGATTTCCGCACGGAGATCCAGTATTCTTACGTCTGTCACCGCCCGGTCCGGTGCCTTCTGTGAGAGAAACGGGCTCTGCGGAGGCTGCTCTGTGGAACATGTCGGCGGCTTGCTCATGCTGGCTCCCTTCAACCCTTCCCTTCCGCTTTTGGCCCGCCCGGCTCTCTGAGTCTTGTGCGGTCTGGCTGATTTTTTGTAACTTCTCGAGCTCCACTTCCCACCAGAACACCCACTTAAACCATGAAGCGGGAAGCGGGTCATGCACGAGAGGTGCTGCACCTGTGATTAATCAGCCGCTGTTCGCCCTGCTGCCGACTTGACGGTAGCTCGACCTGCAAGTACTGCTGTCTTTAGAGGAACAAGCTCAGTCCGTGGGGCGATTGTGTGGTTCCAGCTGATAGCAATTCATGAGCTCCGAAGGCACTCGAGCTGCGTGACCCTGCGGAGCCATTTTGTTGTTGGCCATTCCATGGCAGGGTGCTCCATCTTCTGTTATCTTTGGCTTCCTTGGTGCCGTATAACCGTAGTATAACCGTCCCATCTGCTGACTGTAAGTCACGGTCCGGAGCACTCGCAAACCGATGCCTGGAACGTTGTCCCAGGCAATGTGTTACTCGGGGTCCTTTGTTGTTAAACTGCATCTTGTGGTACATGCAGTTCGGGGGTTGTTCGGCCCGTGGAGTGCTTCGGGTCGGTGATCGAACCATTGCTTGGAGACTGGGGATCCTGTTCTTGGGAGGTTGCACATGGATGATGCTGTCTGTTCTTTCCCTAGCACAGGTGAACAAGGAAAGCTCTGCCAAACCTTGCAACAGTAAAAAAACTGACTTCGCTTTCATCCTGCTCATGTGAGCACTTTCACCGCGCAGCGTATGTAGTATTGGGAGTGCTAGGTCTTCATGCACATCGACGACAATGAGGCAGCAATCATCGCAAACCTTTGGCCTTTTTATGACACTCGCTATCTGGATGATCAACCTCAAGAGTCGTTGTGCCATCTGTGCGAAACTCATTACCCATGCTGCGCTGAAGGGTCGGCAAGTACAAGGCTGACGCCCTGACGAGGGTGCGGAAGGTCTGAGGGCCGAGCGCATCAGAAAACCATGCTCGACAACCACTTTCGCTGCTGAGACGGGTGCCGGACGTCGCTTTTCACAACTGTTTCTGGCTGAGTTCTGCTACACGAAAACGTTTGTCTTACCCTTCGACGCGAGCCCTCAACATACTGTGATGCATGTGCTTCGCTTTGCTCATCTTCGGCCGCGACCATGGGAACACAACCTTTACTTGGCTTCAATCCGCTGCTGTAGTTGCTGTGTTTTATGCTTTCCATCACAAACATGCTGAGTCGCGAGCGGCTGGGCTACTGCATTTTCAGGAGTGTACTGTCAATCTTCTGCCCCAGGTCCTAGGATGCAGTCACTGTGTAGGTGCCTGGTCATGTCCTTTTGAAGACTGTAGCTGGTCTGGTTATACGTACAGAGATATGTTTTGTTTTTGGGGTATTTCGTCACTGGTCTTTCTGCATGACGATTTTTTTGTCAATATTCCCTTGCGATGCGGTGGTTTTGGATGCTAGTCACTAGTCTCGCTGATGTTGCTGAGATTGCAGATGTTATGTTTTCCCAACGCAACATAACACCGATAATGCCCAATCTGAGTGATGTCTTGGTTGAGGGAACAACATCAGAAGTTCATATCCACCGGAAGCATGACCTGGTGGGTTCAAAACAAGAGTAGAATTGAGTTTACATTTTGCGCTATGTGAGTCCGATGGCGCTCCCATCGCATCCTGCTTGTCAGTGACCGCTTTCCGTAGCAGTTTCGATTATTTCCAGAACTTTCCGAGCTGAGGCCGGACATAAGCGTAGTCATGCTGTTCCGTCGAGGAGACCCGACGTCCGCTCAGTTCAGCTCATGGCCAAGACCAAGCCTGGACGATTTCATGCGGGCAGCAACGGAACCATCGTTGAACCCTGCTCGTTCAAACGTGCAAGGCTTAGCCAGTTCGTGTAGCGTTTCTCGTGTCCAACACTTTCTGTTTTTTCGCTGCCTTTTTTGATCGATGAGGCAGCCATCATCGCGCACTTTGACGAGCTGGGTCGGCGCAAACTACTATCTATGCGCACGCAAAAGCTGTACCAGAAATGCGGTGACATAAGCCTGACATGTCAACTGGCCATGATCGTACATGCGCAGCTCGTCACAACACGTCACGCGCAGGCCGGTGACAGTGCCGGAAAGTTGCGATTCGGCGATCCACGAGGCGTGAGACAACCGGATGTTTGGCTTTTGGATTTGCAGACCCACTTGCGCAAGGGCACAGTCCGCCGTTCGGCCGATCCTTCTTCCACTCTCCCAGGCCAGCACAGCGTCGAGATTTTGGCTGGTATATTGGTCGTACTGAACTCGTGATGAAAGATGAGTGCCCAATCTGGGAAGGTCCGGCGATCTAGTGTTCTTCCCGCTGCGAGCCCGGGCAATGACTTCGAGCATTGCAGAGTTGCGGCGGACACTGCATGAGCGGGAGTGAGAGAGACAGAGAAGGGGCGCAGAGAGAGAGAGAGAGAGAGAGGCAGAGGAGCCTGCCGGTTCTGCTCGGCAAGTTTTTTTCCCTTAGGTGCGTGGAGAGTTGCCCGTTGCTGCCGACGCCCCCAAAGCCCATCGAATCATGGGGGGCCCTAAGGGCCGGGGGGACTAACATGCCCCTCTAACCCGAAGGAAGAAGGAAGAGGAGGCAGAGGGGGGATTCTCCCCTCTTGCTCATAACCCTGCCGAAAGAAAGAGGCAGAGGGCAACCTCTGCCCATAGCCCTGGCGAAAGAAAGAGTAACACAACGGGTGGTGGGGCGGGCCGAAGGCCTGAGGGTCGGGACACCGACCCCTACACCCTGCAGAAAGAAAGAGGGAGAGAGAAAGGGAGGAGACATGCAATGGCAGAAGAAGGTACCTGTGATAAATCTGCACCATGTTCGAAATCCTTCAAGAAGGTCTAGTGTTTGCACTAGGTTCGGGGTCTGTTGTCCTGTGCGATCCTGTGCTCAATTGAGAGTCCTGCACGTTGCAAGCAGCAGTTCATGGTCATTGCTTAGTACGGGCTGAGGCTCCCCGTGTGAATTCAGATGTTCTTGTTTCTGAATTCTGGGGGAGAACAGTAGGCATCGCTGGAGATGTAAATTTCTCAATCGGGAGTAGGACTTGACAAAGAGGCTTTGCAAGGGTCTCGGACAACGAGGTTTTTCCGGGGTCTCGTTCACTCATTTCCAGAGGACCATATGTTCTCCGGTGCATGAGCAGCGGCCTCTTGTGGTCAGCTTGTGTAAGGCTAGGAAGCCTTGTATGGCACGATTAAAGTAAAGCAGAGGTTGAGGTGCTGGGAAGATTGGTGCTTTCCATTGAAGCGCCACAGCCAGCCGTTGAAGGATGTACTCCTGGTGTGCCACCATCCCTTTGAGTGAGCCTTTGAGCTCGTCTGGTTTGCGAGCGTTTCCTTGAGGATTCGGGGCTTGTGACATCGCTCCGTTTTTCAGGCTGTCAAGCCAAAATCGTCGTCAAGGGTTGCTGTGCAAGGCCATGCAAGGCCCACGTGCCGTTGGGTTCTGCACGTCTATCACCTACAGCCCAGCATGCCATACATGCTTTGTTGTGCACCCGTAAAATCCGCCGGTCGAATGGGGAAATTTGCAGGATCCTACTACTGAGAGCTGCGTTGTAACTGCATCACATGCAGGGGGCACGGAGCAACTTACAACAGCCGCTTCGCCTTGTCATCTTACGTCGAAGATCCTTGCAGATACGTGGCCACGACCTAGGATCTAGTTGGTAAATTGTGTGACCTTGCCTGCCTGTTACTTGTTCCGAGCCACAGAAAACTCTTCGCCTCCTGCAGAGCTTCGTAGCCTTTCCAATTCGGGACTGATTCCGAGCTTTGATTGGGTTTGTTTGCCCGGCCCGCAACGGAACCGCGTCTGATACCGCAACCGCAGCTGCGGGCTCAGACGGTACCGGTTCCGTACCGGTCCCGGTACCGGAGCTTTCAGTTTTTAGACTGTGCCCGCTGCTTTCTCTCATGGCTAGAGGCGAGGCGTTCCTGTACCTTCCCTCTTTTTATGGTGCTCGCCCGTTGCCCGACCAGGTCGGCGACGGCGACACTGCAGACGTGGTTCCGGGTCTTCCCGTTCCTCGTCTACTTCAAGATCTGCCCGCCCGGTGCTCGGTCTGACCCGGCGACTGTCTTTGCCTTCGTTGTCCGTGCCCAGGTCGCCGGACTCGGAGCTCTTCATGTTCACGCTCTCGACGCCGGTCTCCTTCGCGATGCTCTCATGCATCCGAGGACCGTGTCTGACTCTGGTGCTGGCATGTCTGAACACTGCGTGCTTTTTCTGCTCCAGTGTTGCATGTCTTGCTGTTTCTTGGGTTGTTGCACATGTTCTTTTTCCGCAGCCGCTCTGCTCCGCAGCACTTTTGGATGCTCCCCGCCAACGTTGCCCTTGCCATCTACATGATGACCGGCGCCGCGGACATCCCGTCATCCTCGCGGACTTCCGCTGCTTCCGGAGAGGAGTCTGTGACGGCTCCCGTTTCCGGTCCGGCTCCTATGCTGTCCCCCACTTCTGAGAGTGGCGACACTACCGAGCCGGCCATGGAGGAGCCGTCTGTCGCCGCCTCTCCGATTCCGGAAGAGTCCGCCCCCGATGCACC